GATAAGAAAAATGTCCATCATGAGATCAGAAAAATGTTTACGTCTCTTGGTACGGCATATAGGCTTGCCAACAAATCATCAACGACGACAGCGTCAACGACTCAAACATCTCCGAGTCTGAGCAAAAAACCACAGTCACCTGTGGTCACTCGTAAGAGATTATCACAGCAAGGAGAGGGCAACAACAAGAAGAGGCCGCTGTTCACGCCCAGCCCCTCTGCAGAAATTGACAAGCCAGCACAGAAAAAGCCAGCCTGGGATGATACTTGGACTAAAGTGACTTGGTCAAAGAAAAAGAAGGATAGAGAACAGAACCCAGCGGCTCGATCTGCTACAGCCCAAAACCAGCCAAGCAATGATGGCTCCGAGAAACCGAGAAGGAAGAGGACGAGAACTAAAGCTGTTCTTGTCCAACCAGCTGAAGGGCGGACATACGCCGATCTCCTGAGGGAAATCAAGGCTAAGGTAAGCCCTGTCGAGACGGGCGTAGTCATAAAGTCTATTAAAAAGACGAAACATGGAGGCATTCTCCTTGGAATGTCTCGAGAGACCGAGGACAGTAAGGCTTTCACCGATGCCGTAAAGTCAGCTACTGCAAACATCGGCACGGTCAAGACGCTAACATCAACAGCAACGATCGAGATCCTCGACCTGGATGAAATCTTTACCGAGAGCGAAGTCCGTGAAGCAGTCAAACGTGAATTCACTGACAGCCTGGAGGTCAAACGGGTCAATTTGACAAAGCCCACACCACGCGGTAATCGGGCAGCCTTCTGCGAAGTAGATGAGCTCAGTGCGATTAAGGCCCTTGATAAGACCCGTATACGGATCGGTTTGGTGAACTGTCGTATAAGCCCAGTATAAAAGTAACACGTTGTTTTAAATGTCTTGGTTATGGACACCACACACGTCAGTGTGTGGGACCAGACAGAAGCAGGTGCTGCTACAAATGTGGCGGAGAGAACCACAAGGCCGTAAACTCCACGGAGAAGCTAAAATGCTTCCTTTGTGCTTCGGACAAAGATGCCCAGGATGGTCTATGCCATATTTCTGGCACTGGAGCTTGCAAGGCATTCCACAAAGCACTTGCAGAAGCCACGAGAGGTCAGAAATGACACGCATACTACAAGGCAACCTGAATAGGTGCGCCTTGGCGCAAAACCTGCTGCGCCAGCGTGTTTTCGAAGATAAAATTGACGTCTGCTTTATCTGCGAGCAATATCTAAACATCGAAGGTAAAACATGGTTCGCAGACGAAACGGGCACGGCAGCAATTTGGATTGTGAACACAAAGAACGTTACCGTCAACAACAGCGGAAGTGGAGCAGGTTTTGTCTGGATTCAAACCCCCACAACCTACTTCATGAGCGTCTATCTCTCACCTAACGAAGGGATTAGTGTGTTCCGACAGAAACTGGCAAATACAGAAGATGCAGTCACCAAGTTCGACGGTGAAGTTATCATAGCCGGAGACTTCAACGCTAAATCGGCTGAGTAGGGCACTGCTTTCTCCGACACCAGAGGAAACGAGGTCGCTGACGTCGTGGCTAGACTCGACCTCATAGTGCTGAACACCGAAAGCACCACGACCTTTAGAAGACCAGGGTACCAAGAATCCATCCTCGACATCTCATTGGCGACTCCAAGGACTGCCAACATGATCGAAGACTGGGTAGTATCCGAAGAATACAGTGGCAGTGATCACCAGTTCGTGACATTCAGCGTCGGATTGGCATTTGCTCCGGTTTCACAATGCGACGTTTCTAAGAGGAAATGGAATGCCAAAAGGCTTGATCCAGAGGCATTGAAAGCTTCGCTTGCACGAAGCTGGTCTATTCTTCAGAACAACACGACTCCGGATACCTGTAGCGAGACGGAAAAGGCAGTGCTAAATACGATGAAGGAAATTGCTGCCGCATGTGATGCTTCTATGCCGTGGCTGAAAAATCAGAGATTCCACAGGCCGGCGTACTGGTGGTCAGCAGACATAGCAGAACTTCGCAAAATATGCCATCAGCTACGTCGCCGAGCAACGAGAGCCGCGAAACGCTCCCCAAGCCAGGACGAGCATTCAAAAGAGTATAAGCAGGCCAAAAAGACGCTAAACCGAGCCATCAAAGCAAGTAAAGCGAAGTTGTGGAAAGAGATCTGCAATGATCTCGACAATGACCTCTGGGGTAAAGCCTACCAAATTGTCGCCAAACGACTTGGAAAGGCTTGACCAGAGGCGCCGAAGTCTCCTGCCATGATGGACAGCATTGTAGCGGAGCTTTTTCCCAAACACCTGCCGCGGGAAAAGAAACACTACACTAAGAACAGCGAATTAACACCCTTCACAACTAAGGAACTACAAGACGCGGCCAAGTCACTCAAAACAGGAAAGGCACCTGGACCTGATGGCATCCCGGCATCGGTGATCAAGATTGTAGCCCTGGAATACCCAGACATACTGCTGAACACCTACAGTGCATGCTTGGCAACTGGCACGTTTCCCACGGTCTGGAAACGGCAGAGATTGGTTCTCTTAGACAAAGGTAAGGGAACCCCCATAACACCTTCGTCGTTTAGATCACTCTGTATGCTGGATATTGCTGGAAAACTGCTCGAAAAGCTCATACAAGGGAGACTTCGCAATGACATAGACCGTGCTGAAGGTTTTGCCGCGAACCAACATGGCTTCCGGAAAGGACGTTCAACAGTAGGCGCGATACAGAAAGTCGTAAGGACAGCGAGCGAAGCATGGACTGGTAGCGTCAAAGCCCGCAAGGTGTGTCTTGTCCTCACGCTAGACATTAGAAATGCCTTTAACAGCGCAAATTGGAGAGATATTTTGGACGCCCTGGAGCACAGATTTGACGTAGAACCGGAGAATCTGGCACTAGTTGACAACTACCTTGACGAAAGAAAGCTAATAGCAGAAACCACAGAAGGCCCACAAGAATACGCCATAACGGCTGGCGTGCCGCAAGGCTCAATAATGGGGCCCGATCTGTGGAACGCGGACTACGACGAGCTTCTTGAAATCCCGTTGCCAAAGCAAGTGGAGCTAACGGGCTTTGCAGACGACGTCGCGGCCACGATAATAGTAGACAGCGTAGAGGAGGCCGAACTATTAGGTCGGGAAACCATTGATGCTGTCGAGACTTGGCTCGATAAACACCACCTGAAACTCGCCAAGCACAAAACCGAGATGGTCGTTCTGACTCGCCAAAAATGGTTCCTAAAACCATTCGCTATGGACATGGGAGGAATAATACTCACGTCAACAAGGGCCCTGCGCTATCTAGGGGTAATGATAGACGAGAAACTATCTTTCCGTGAACACCTCGACAGTGCATGCAAGAAAGCCAGCAAGACTGTGTCTAGCCTAGCACGAATTATGACCAACACCATGGGACCAAGAACAAAAAAGAGAAGAGTTCTTCCAGAAGCAGTCCACTCGGTACTGCTTTATGGAGCAGAGATATGGGCAGACATATTAAAGCAGAAGACTTACCGGCGAAAGATAGCAGCAGTACAGTGGCGAGGCGCTCTCAGGGTTGCCTGCGCCTACCGCACAGTTTCCGAAGTGGCTGTATTGGTCATTGCAGGAGCCGCGCCCATCGACCTATTAGCGTTCGAAAGAGCAAAACTCTATGACGCTAAAATCGGTGACGAAAACATAAAGGACGCAAGAACGAGCATAAAGGCGGAAACGCAGCAAGAGTGGCAGGACCGATGGACATCGGGAGAGACGGGCAGATGGACGGCGCGCCTGATCCCAAACATCAACGTCTGGCTTTCTCGGAAGCACGGGGATACGGACTTCTTTCTGATCCAGCTATTGACGGGACATGGGCAGTTCAATGCTTATCTTTTCAAGATGGGTTTGCACAGCAAACCAACGTACAAATACTGCCCAGACAAAATTGACAACGCTGAACACACGTTTTTCGAGTGTGATCGGTGGAAGGACGACAGAACCAGCACCGAAGAAACAATAGGCACCACGCTCTCCCCTGAGAGCTTGGTAACCTGCATGATAAAAAAGAAGAAAACTGGTCAGCTGTCACAGCCTACGCGCAGCGCCTTTTAAAAGAAAAAATCGCAGAAAGGGATTAGAAACCAATAGTAACAAGAAGTAGGTGTCATGAGATACAACATGGACTGGATTGAAGTAATGCTAACGCGGTCCCGTTCCAGTCATCCCTGTAACATCTATAGGGAAAGGAGAGAGGAGGATGTTTAGTCGGTATTGTTGCAAATATTGACTTCCGAGTCCGACATACCCAGGCACCAACACCTAGTCCTGGCAACAACATCAAGCCCTGGTATACGTAAATGTATTTTACCTCCTCTATAAAAAAAAAAACACACACACACACACATACATACAGACACCACCGCGGGGGTAGTCAGGGAAGCTTCCTATGACTTTAAAACGTCGAGATCTGATGATAACTCGATTTTTGCAAAACGGGGTGAAAACAATACCTTCCCGATTTTTGAAAATCTGAGATTTTTAGCGGGAAGTTAAAAATTCTTGCAAAAAAATTAAATTTTTTAATTAACAAATAAAAAATAAGGGTTGATCGTAGAGGGGTGAAAATTTAGGGTTGCATGTATTTTTGTATGCTGTATCGTGAAAAAATGAAAACAAAAAATTTTGTCTAAAAAATTAAAAAAAAAAATTTAGGAGTGGACCACCCTCAACATTTAGGGAAATGAAAAATAGATGTTGATCGATTCTCCACCCTGGCCGATATGCACACTAAGGATCACGAAAATCGGTCGAGCCATTTTGGACGAGTTCGGTCCCGCACACCGTGATACGAGAATTTTATATATTAGATTTTTTTTTTTTTTTATTTAAATAATTATTAATATATGAAAGTCAGACATCTGTTAATTTCAGTATGATGTATTATAAAATAATTTACTTACCAATTATATTTTTATTATTATTTTTATATAATGTAACAAGGTACTTTGTTACCACTGGCAGTTAGTTTGAACCGTTGCGAGTTCGGTAAATTATCGACGCGACACCAGTGCGCGATGGTCTCGGGCATTTTAGGTAGTAGGGAGAGGGGCGATAGGCCGGAGCGAGCTCGAGTGGAGTAGCGGCCGGCGGACAAGACAGAAGAGGTTGTACTACCGAACGTTCCGGACGCAAATTGGAAACTCAGGTATTTATCCAGTCACACGTTTACTTAATTGGAACGCAAGCGATGTTTAATATTTATTAATTGTTCCTAATTAATAAATAACATTATACTAATCCAATTGGTACGTCTAGGAAATATTGTTGCGGTTGGAAAGCAGTACAAAATCCCCGAGAGTACGAGCAACGACGAGGCGGCAGCAGAACAAAGCCGTGGCTGTAAGTGGGCGGGAAGCAGTTCGTCGATTGCAAGGTACTTTGTCAACTCTCGTGGGAAAAATTCGACTGTGGTTAGCACCCGGTCTTATTTCCTCTTCTGGACAAGGTTTAATCGTATAATTGGGCTTATAAATTAAAATAATTATTGAGTTTTATTAATTAAATTAATTATTGGTTAAAATAAAATTGCTAGAAAATTCTGTGGTCCGACACCCGGAAAAATATTAGTTGATCTTGAGGCGAGTTTTGTGTTAAGAGAATTACGCGCCATTTTATAGTCAATTTTATTAAATTAATTTATTTATTAATAATTTTCGGTTAAGTAAAAATCAAATTATTGATCGTTAATTGGATAATTTTATTAGAAAGTGGGGAAACAGTTCTGTTACTACGCAGTACGTATTAACTGCGCATCTAAAATTTCAAGGTCACGTTTACTGGCGTCATATATTCTATTGTGTTGAAAATAGTCACCGGATAATTTTGTTAATTCGGTTAGATAAATTATATTTAATTTTAATAAGTTTTGGTTGGGTTATGGGTGATAGAGAGTGAGATCGTGGATGAATAACTTCTGATACATGGTATGATTTTCCCTCTACATCAGAAGTTTATTATAAATTTGGTCATTGGTAATTGGAATATCGGTAAATAATTGAAGTTCACGTGGTCCTCGTACCCGTGAATTATGGTACGGTTTCCCCTCTGTCTTACGGGTATTAATTAAAGAATCGATTATGGAAAATTGGCAATAGAATTTATAGTGTGCGTGTGAGAGTGATTTTTGTAAAATAAATAATTGGTAACCACGAATTATTAATTTTATTCATTTCCAGATAATTTCCTAATTCTCTCTACCCTGTAGATTATCTCTCATGTTCGTACGGTTTCCAGGACACCGTTATAACAACCTGGTGGCGCCCTAAATTTAACATCTAATAATAATAATCTTATGGTATTTATAGTTAACATCTAATTGATAAATTAAGGCTGCTATTGAACGGCGGGAATAAAAACCCCCGTTACAATAAATAATATTTAACACGAGTGTTATTATTACATTATTTTAAACAAATCATATAAGCTTATTTAACCGCTAGAAAAGAGATCTAGTCAAATACTTATAAGAAGAATTACGCCTTCGGGCTTAATCGTTAAAACTCGGGAATAACCGTATAAACTCGGGAATAATCGTATCACGCTATGGCCGTCGCGCATGCGCGCCTTGGTTAGCGGTAGAGAAGCCGGCTCGCGTGGTCTGATGCAACAGCTGTGCTTGGACTTCTGTACTAGTACGACTACTCTGTGCTAATCAATTCTGACAATTCTTACTTGCATCTCACATTCATTCAAATATTTAAATCATTCATTAAATATAAATAATTATAGTAGACTCAATTATACTCTAAATTCTCAATTCATTTAAATCAGTTTAATAAATCAGTGAATTAACATAAATAAAATCAAATAAATTTATTTAGTGACGCCACGCGGCCATTACGCGCCACCGTGACAAAAGATTGCATCAGCCACGCGGCTTTAGACAATCCATAATCGACGCGTGATATTAACCATTAATTACATTGAATTAATTATGAACATTTAATTACGATCTTATTTAAATTAACTTATAAATAATTAAATTCCAACTTCAAACCATTTGACTAATTTCTACACGAAAAACATCAAACTCAATTGACTAACATTCTGTTATCAATCAAATATTATTAGCTCTCACCTAGAGACAAGTGAACATTAATAGCTCTCACTCTGAGACAGTTCAAATTAATTAGATATTACCAGCTCCCACCTTGGGACTTATCTAATTCAAATTATCGATAATTTTCTATCTAAGGCGGCTGAGCTCACCCCTATTGCGTTATTGCAACGTAATTTTAAACATTCACACTTACACACACACAATTTACTTGTATAATTTCATCAAGGAAGTTTTTTCCCAGCCTAGCTGGGTTTTCCTCCTTTGGGGACAAATAAATTCTTCTAAATTGTTCCCCAAAAAACCCAAGTATTATTATTTAATTTCCTAAGCCCAACTTTATCGTATAATTTAAAAACAATTACGGGAATTATCCGCATTGGATAGTTTCCGACAAAACACTAATTTCTACATGAAAAACATCAAACTCAATTGACTAACATTCTGTTATCAATCGAATATTATTAGCTCTCACCGAGAGACAATTGAACATTAATAGCTCTCACTCTGAGACAGTTCAAATTAATTAGATATTACCAGCTCCCACCTTGGGACGTATCTAATTCAAATTATCGATAATTTTCTATCTAAGGCGGCTAAGCTCACCCTTATTGCGTTATTGCAACGTAATTTATACACACACACACACTTACACACATACAATTTACTTGTATAATTTCATCAAGGAAGTTTTTTCCCAGCCTAGCTGGGTTTTCCTCCTTTGGGGACAAATAAACCATCTAAACTGTTCCCCAAAAAATCCAAGCATTTTTATTTAACTTCCTAATCCCAACTTCATCATATTTTTAAAAAACAATTACGGGAATTATCCGCATTGGATAGTTTTCAACAAAACATAAAGATTGCTTGAAAAAAATAATCATTTATCTATCTATAATTTTGGTATGCGAGTCAATCCACTTTAATCACGAATTATCAATTTATTTAATTAAGGAAGTTCGAGCGTAACTAATGAGTCAAAATAATGTTAAAACTTTTTTTTAATTTTAGTCTTCCCAATATTCGTCAAAATTCTTTATTTTAATTTAAAATAATTTAAACAATTTAACAATTGATGATTTTTACTTATTTAATAAAGTAGAGTAATAAAATGACTTTGGTATTTATTAATTGCCGAAATAAATAAACAGATTTGGCAATAGCGCACTTGATTATACCTATAACAGAGACGTGGATGAGTATGTGAGTTAAACATTTCTCTCTCTGTAACTATATTTCTATCCTTTTATTTTTTCTCAGCTGTTGACGCGATGTTGTCAAATCTTTATTCGAATAAATGGCTGAGGATAAACGAGTTGCAAACATAAAATTTGACTTTAAATATTTCAAAAATTATATCGGTAATGTATTATTATTAAATTGTTTTTATATTTTGCAATAATCCAAGTTTCTCGTGTATAGTTTTTTATCCGTTAAAGTTGGGAGGTTAATATTAAAAAAAATAATTAAAGTCTAGACAAAACGTTTGTCGACCATAAGAGCCCGTGTATAAGGAGATAAAATATGTGATTTTTAAAATTTAATATCTAAGTAACTAAACGGTGAATATTTTTAAAATTTTGGGAATCAATAAATGACGTATTTATTTATACGTATACTTAATTTCAAAGCTCAAAGTTGGAAATTATTTTTTACATTAGATTCGCTCGAACTTGCTTAACAACTCGGACAAAATCGAGAAATCGATTCTTAGGCAAGATTAGAGCATAATTACGCTCGAGCTTAAGACATCCAATGTTCGAATCTAGCGACATCTTTTGCGCCTTCAAATTATAATTCCCGCGCAAACACTAAGTGCCAGTTTTTTAATTCAGGATTAAAATTATCGTGGATTTATATTGTCATTGTAACCATATTTATATTGATAAAATAT